TTTAAATTTTTGCTTATTTTCAGGTTAAAGTTTAATATTTAGGTCTGATTGTACCATATGCTTGTTTTCACTTTCTGGACTTTTGACCATAGGAGGTATTCCATTCGACCTTAGAGACAGCTGGTGAGAACAGTTCACGTTTATGTGGGCTTTGACTTCCGCAGTTGCCTCATACAAACCTCACAGAGAGACAGTGAAAAAGATGTTCCTCGTGCTACGCAGGAGGGACACAGAGTCTCAGTGAGTTGAGCAGATAACAGGTGCTGGGCAAACAGCAGAGAAACTCCCATGCCCTCCAGGAGCTCTCATCCAATGAGAGATCCAGGCACAAAAGCAGCTAACCTAACACAACACAATGCACCGTAAGCAACACGACTGCCCACCGCAGACCCCAGCTCCGTGCAGCAGCCCTCTCCACGGGGCATCCCCCTTTGTGCTCTGGAAGCCATTGCCCTTGCCCCTTAGGCTTGGGGTGGTAGCATCTCACTGCTGTTCCTTGCCCCGGGGTCCTGCACCATCCTTCGAGGTGTTCACATCCCATTCACACCTTTGTAAAGTCTCTTTATCAAGCTTGCTTTACATTGTCCGATTTGAGCACTGGGTGGCCTGCCGGAATCCTGATGATACCCACTGCTCTCGTTACTATTCTTTTCTCTTCACAAAGACGTACTTGATGCTCAGGCACTTAAAACATTTCATTCCATCTTCATTGGCTGCTTGACTTGGTCTGTTTACTTCTTTCATTCATAAGAACGCCCCAAATTAGGTCCAGCAAGATGCCTCCTTTAGACAGGAGTATTCGAAGCAGTCAGAAAAAAGATGGATCTATTTCCAAGCCAGAGCGAGTTGCAGAGAACTGACCCAGGGACCAACAGGAGGCTGACAGCTTCCTGAAGCCCCTCCAGGCAGCTTTTCTCAGCACAGATTTGAACTCACGGATCACACCCCGCCCCTCCTCACACACACATAGCAAACACATTCTAAAGCCAGATATATGGGATGTTTGCATTCCCTGGTGTCCATGCCAGTCCACTAATTCATTCATTAAGCATATCATTGTTGGGTGCCTACTGTGTGCCCAATACTCCAGTGATCAGGCATCATGGAATTGGTCTTAGCAAAATAAATCAGAACCTTCATATGGTTACTTCTGAACCTTCATAAATATATTCAGATCAAGTGCTTTTATAATAATGTTCCTCACCATTTGTTGAGATACACATATTATATACATTTAGATATATCACAAAAATATATACATATATATTCACACATACACACATACATATATACATATATATTTATAGGGTCCATATATTTTTATATGTGTGAATATATAATATACACATATTACATAAACAAATATATAATTTATATGTGTGTGCGTGTGTGTGTGTGTGTGTGTGTGTGTGTGTGTGTGTATTTATTTAATTTAATTGTCCTTTCCTCAAGATCATTGTCTTTCCAGCTTTGTGGTGTTTACCACAGATCCTTCCTTTCTTTTTTTTTCTTCCTTTTTTTTGGTTTAGCCAAACCGTGCTGCTTATGGGACCTTAGTTCCCCAATCAGGGATTGAACCCACGCCCTCAACAGTGAAAGTGCAGAGTCCTAACCACTGGACCTCCAGGGAGTTTCCAAACAGATCCTTCCTTTCAACTGGACTCTTTCACGGATCTCTAGTTAACATAAGAGATGGAGTTGGAGGGCTTCCCTGGTGGTGCAGTGGTTGAGAGTCTGCCTGCCGATGCAGGGG